TTATTATTATTATTATTATATACTTTATTCATTAAACATGAAACTCTGTCAACTGAACATTCAAGAATGCATCAAAAAAGCCAGTGACTGGTGCTGCTGGTTGTTACGGCTTGCTGCCAGCGTCCTAGGTATCAACCAAGGACCTTCTTCAAATATAAGAAGTTCCGAGTAACGCAGTTTTTTGCAGTTCCGCTGGTGTTATTGCAGGAAGCTGCAATTTGTTGATGTATCTTTTAAAATTCTTGGACATGGTGCCAAGTGCCCCGATGACAATGGGTATTCACTGTTACATGCTTCATCCATAATCGGGTAGTTTCGACGGCCAGGTCATGATATTTCATGATTTTTTTCTAGTTCTTTTTCTTCGACTCTGGCATCTCCTGGTACCGCAATGTCAATAAACGCAGTCCAATTCCATTTGCGAATAAATCTACATCTTTCCCTCGCGCTAAAGATTTCTGCGTTCACTCAGCCTCCGAGATGACAGGAAATTGTGGGTGTTAAGGACCACAGCCTTCGCAGACGTTTTATTTATGCAAGATGAATCGGAGACATAACTGATACAGAGTGTTGTTAGTTAGTTCCAGCTCCACCATTCCTTGTTTCCATTTGTCTCTTCGGAATCTTCCAAAATTCAGCTTTCTGGGGTTTTTTCTTAAGCTGGTTATGGTATTTTTAGACTCTCTTTTCCATTCTAGTGTGTTTAGCTTCAGTATTGATTTAATTTTAATTTAAGTGCACAAAAGGCGTCACTTTTTCTTAATGTACACTGTTGTGTCGCCATTTCGACTGAAAGGGCATGCTTGCGAGTATTATTTCTGAGTGTTTATTTCTATTTATTTGTATCCTGCCTTTATTGGGATGCAGTGGCTCAGTGGCTAAGACGCTGAGCTCGTCGATCAGAAAGGTCAGCAGTTCGAATCCCTAGCGCCGCATAATGGAGTGAGCTCCCGTTGCTTCTCCCAGCTTCTACCAACCCAGCAGTTTGAAAGCACGTAAAAATGCAAGTAGAAAAATAGGAACCACATTTGGTGGGAAGGTAACAGCGCTCCGTGCGCCTTTGGCGTTGAGTCATACTGGTCACATGACCACGGAGACGTCTTCGGATAGCGCTGGCTCTTCAGCTTTGAGACGGAGATGAGCACCGCCCCCTAAAGTCGGGAACGACTAGCAATATGTGTGAGGAGAACCTTTACCTTTATCCTGCCTTTATTATTTTTACAAATAACTCAAGTTGGCAAAATGTTCAACACATTTTCTTCCTGCTATTTTACTCTAAACAACCCTGTAAGGTGGGTTGGGTGGAAGGAAAGGGACTGGCCCAAAATCACCCAGCTGGTTTTCAGGGCTAAGGTTGGACTAGAATTCATGGTCTCCTGGTTTCTAGGCTACTGCACAAATAAATAAATAGATGAATATTTATATAATGTGACTCAAACATAGCTGTTTCAAAAAAATGTACGGATTCTTCTCCCAACAATCTTATTTTCACCTCACCTTCATCCTGTTTTTAGGGAAATTGAGTGCCGCGTGCGAGCGAAGGGCACTCTCATAGATAAAGGAAATTTTTAGCCACTCAAAGGTTATCTCTTGCTTAAATGAAGTGTGATTACTTCTCCACACTTCTTTTTCCACACTTCTTCTTGATACGAGCCAAGGTGGCGCAGTGGTTAAATGCTGCACTGCAGGCTACTTCAGCTGACTGCAGTTTTGCAGTTTGGCTGTTCAAATCTCACCGGCTCAAGGTTGACTCAGCCTTCCATCCTTCTGAGGTGGGTAAAAATGAGAACCCAGATTGTTGGGGGCAATATGCTGAC